TGGGGAATTTTGGGAGTTGAAGTCCACTCATCTTAAAGTGGCCAAGTTTGGACAACACTGTCTTAACCTGAGATGTGTCTTTCTCCCAGACAGTGCTGCTATTGAGGGCAGTCATGCAAACCCAGGAAAAGATAAAGATGCTTTAAGGTGGTCCCAGCAGGTGCTGTGTGGACATCTGTGCATCACAAATCACATTTTGCCCTTTGAATCAAGATTGCAGCACAGCCCTAGTTTGTAGCATCTTTCTGCTCACAGAATGCTTTATTGGTGCAGCAGAAACTTTTGCCACAGTTTATTTCCCCCCATTAAACCTTTCAGCAATCAAAGGGGGTGGGGGATATAGGATACCAGTGGAAGCCTTGTTTTCATTTAGATGGGAAAATTCTGTGGGCCTTAACATTTTAAACTATACATTGCAATTCATGTCCCTGAATGTCCATTATGACCAAATTACCCAGTTTCCAAAAATCTTCACCTGAAAGTTCCCAGGGAGAAGGATGCAAGACCACACTTCCTGATATGCCAGGCTTCTGTGCTGTGTTCTCAGAGCATTGTGAGCACTGAAGCCCAGCATATTTGGCAGGCACTAAGTTGAAGTAGGCAGCTTTACACTATATTTCTCGTTTGCAAAAGAAAGAAGATATGTTCTGAGGAGTGGTGCAGAATATCTTTCCTAGTCAAATGACTGTAGCCCAGTATAGTTCTGGTTATTCATCATGAGAGACCTGATTTGGCCTTTTATGCGTAATGTTGCAGCATAAGTCACCTGTTGTCATTAATGTCTTTAGAAGCAAGTCTTCCCAATATTTATGGCACTTATTTCTGAGAGAAAGAATATTGTTAGTATCATCAAACTATCAAAATACGAACTTGTTATATAATATGATGATGATGATGATGATGATGATGATGATGATGATGATCTGAGTGATATCATTTGATTAAGTAGAACATGCTCAAACATCTCAACTTCTTTGCATAGGTAGTGACCTGCACATGGGCCTTAGAAACATTTGGAAGAACTACCGAGTTTTCATCGTTACAGGAGTTGGCATGGTACTGATACATTGGGGCTGGTATAAAATGAAGTCCAATCCCCTTTTTCAACCAAAGAGAGAGGACTTTTTTGAAGAGTCTGACATTGTGAGATATGTGCTGGATCAGGAGAAAGAAAATAAAGAGAAATAGTTGTACACTGCTGCAGAATGATTAAAAGGTAAGTTCCTGTGGCAGCAAAAATACAACCATTCAGCCAACCTAAATCAAAGGAAATGTTGATGAACAGGTCTGATCTCTTTCATTTCCCACACTCTGTTCTTATGGAATTTATGCTTCTTTCTGCAGAACTGCAGTCTGGAGCCTCTCTGTAGATGCCGTAATAATGGTCCACAATAGATAGCCCTTAGTGTCAAATCATAAGCTAGCCTTCCTAACATAGGCATAAATGTCAACATCGCAACTTCTGGGAGTAAATCCTAAGACTAAGAAGTGAATTGGCAAGCAGACAGCTAAGGATCTGCTTTGCTGGCCTGGCACAGGATTTTCCCTTGGAAAATGAGGATTATTTTTGTTACTATGTTAAAACTGAGCTGAACCAGGGGCTTTCTGATCTGGAGATGTTGCCTCTGCCAGGAACTCATTAATTGGCCTTAAGCCATCTGTTCTCTCTGAATCTCATCCCCTTCTCAGAGCAAAAATACAATGCAATATAGAATTGTGGGAAGGAGCTTTAAAACATAGAATTTTAAATACTCAAAATGGGTACAAATGTAAGATAATATGTTGTAATTTGCAGTGCTGTGGCCAGGATCCCATTATAAGATTAGGCAAGAATCCTATAGGAAGAAACAACCCCAATATTGATGGTCTTCCTTTTTCTCTGTGAAAATTAGATAGTTTGATATCCCATGGCAATGTTTTAGCCTCATTAAAGCAGAGATGGGTAACTGGATTCCTTGAGAATCTGACTGCATTTTCTTTTCCATGATCTCTTTATAATGGTTGTGGCCATAAACTGAACATGGATTTGACATATTCTCTCTCCCTACTCCCTCTCCTCCTCCTCTCTCTCTCTCTCTTTCTCTCTCTCTCACACACACACACACATAAATATATATGCATCAATTATGCATATTCAGTGTACTTTCCCAGCTGGTTGAATTTATCAGCTGTATCATTTTTCATCAGTCCACAATTTTTGTACATGTAGCAGAACCAGGTTCGAGCAATATTGTGCCTGTGATGCAGAGCAGCTGCAGTTCATCTGTTACTTGGCAGAGCTTTTACAAATGCAGCTTTTGAGCATCATTAATAACAGCACACACTCTGAACTCATTAAAGCAAAATTTGTATCTATGCCCTTGTTCAAAATAATGTTTTTTTCTTAACCCGCCTGTGTCTGTAAGCTTCAGTGATTATTTTCCTTTACTAATAAATTAAATGCCCTTGATGACCCAGATCCCATTCTTACCCGGGACCTATCTGCAATGCTGTAATCTTCTATCACCATATGGTGTTTTGAAAACCACAGTCTAACATCAAGAAAAGACAGATTATTCCATGACATATAGGACATTTATCATGCATATGTCACCCATACATTGTGGTCCCTTATGTATGGGCTTTTTAATTCCAGGTTAGAATGACACTTAGGCCTTCTGGCACTACGTGGATACCTCAGTTGGTTTTGAGTGTCCTTTTCACTGCCTGTGCTTGAACGGTTTCCAGGTTTATACTGGTGCTCAGGCTTATGTTATAACAGATACCTGTAGGCAGTTGCACTATTTATTTCATTCTGATTGCAAAAGCTGAAGCCTTCTCCCCAACCCACCAAAATTTAGATTTTCCTGCCAAGGACTCCTGGGGCAGTTATTGGAAAACAATGTGTGAAACATCTGGCACAGAATTAGTCAGTCAAAAAAAACCCCAAAACATTCATGGAGAAGAATCTTGCCTTTCATAATTTCTCTTTAGCTTGTTAAACCTGTAGTTTTCCCTCAAAAAGGACATTTCATGTACCTGAAAATTGTATCATTCAGTTGCATACCCTAAGATCATTTATCTAGAATGTGGCTATAACCTTTTTATTATATATGCTGTTCTTTAATACAATGAAATCTGGAGTTTCTTACATTTGACACATATCTTTTCCAATAAAGCTTGAATTAATGTCAAATATGTGAAAATATTTTAAATATCACTAATCTGCTTAGAAGGAGTTGCCTTGATAAGATTTGAGCTGAGAAAATGTGTAAACATACCACTTTCATCTGTATACCTCAAAACCTAGAAGAAATAAATCTCTGTATACAATCAAAGTTTGAGTGCTTTATTGGCAAAAATCCTTGACTGCCCACAGTTAGTGGTATTTTTTCTGCATTATGCTTATATAAGAGATTATGGTGCAGTAATATGTTGGCAAATTGTTTCAGTGTTTTCAACCATGCAGAATATTCAGTCTATGATTATACCATAATTTTCAGATATGGCTTGTTGTTTGCCAACAGTTTTCACTGAAATAAGTTGTCTTAATAAATGTATACTTTTTGATTATAGTATTATGAAATTTCTGTTCTTTTCTTATTATAGGTATATCTCCCTTATTTATTATAGATCTCCATTGGCAAAAGAGATGAAAGGCAGCTGGCGTAGTAGGAATTGGCTGCCCATGCTGGATTTTTATTCATTGGTGCCAATGTTGGGATTTACCATCTACAAAAAGCAGCAAAGCTTTCTGCCAAACTGGGCATGGAAATTAACTCAGAAGATCTTGTTGAATGAAGCAGCTTTGGCAATCATCACATTGATCACGCCGTTTAACGTCAGATAGGTGCTATTACATCCCTTTGTTGTGTCATTGTCTGCAAAGAAAACCCAAGGTCTTGCATGCCTATGTATAATGATGATTAAAAACTATTTTGTAGAAATGGAATGCTTCTAAACCTTGACTGGAATTTTCTCTGGAAAGATGTCTCGCACTGATGTTAAAAAGCCTTCCCTCTGCACCACTGGGCCTTTAACTAAGGAGATGATTAGCCAGGCTGTCTCGGCATTTAGTAAAATAATGAGGTCCTGCTACGGCCCAACAGGAAGGCTTAAACAATTTCACAATGGCACGGGAGGTTATGTTCGTATTTCATCACAATCTTCGGTTTTGCTCAGTAGCCTTTGTGTCACTCTTCCAGTCTTAAAGCTTCTGGTAGCCTCTGTGCAGAATCACCTTGCACTCTTCAGGGATAGTGGCTTATTTACAGCAATTTTTTGCTGCAGCTTGCTTGAAAAATATCAAAGCCTGAATGTTGCTCCATGTACTTTCATTAAAATCAGCAAGCATGTTTTGAGCCTGTGCATCGACTACCTTTCATCTGAAACCTGTGGTTGCCGAATACCAGTGGATTTCAGTAGTTCTAAGCTTCTCCTTAGCCTAGTGCGCAGTATCATATTGAGCAAACGGGCCTGCATGCTTAGCAGAAAGGAAGCTGATCATATCAGCATATTGGTGTTAAAGGCCTTTCTGCTTACCATCCCCCAAAACACGGATTCCGGTGCTGTGCTAGGAAAATGCCTTTACATACCTGTAAAAAATAAGAGAGTTATGGATTCTACTATATATCCTGGACTTTTAATTGAAATGCCAGAATTGTATCTGACACTGCCTTTGAAAAGAACTGCTTCAGGCCTGATCAGAGTGGCACTTTTTGGCATGTCTATGTCAGGAGATTTGTCTCATGCGGGAGAAGGAGCCATAATTATCCACCACGGAGTTTCTCCAGAAGCCGAAATGTTAGATCAGTTGCTCAATGTAGGCAGGCAAGTAATAACTGATGGTGTTGGTCTTGTGATATGCCAGAAGGTCATCCACCCAACCTTGAAGCAGTATTTAAAGGAGAACAATATTGTTGCTGTCGAGAGAGTTGGAATAAGAATGATGGAGCCCTTGAAGGAAATGACAGGTAAAGAATAAGCTTTCAGACATGGTAACTTCATGATATGTTCCACAAGAAAATGGGATGTGGCAAGCCATAAGCAGGAATCTTTTCTGTGTCAATTGTCTAGCTGTCCTCGGTTAAATTCCAAGCGCTAGACTGTTAATTGAGCAATATTCAGATGTTTGATCTATGTCTAACCTCATCCCATTTATTTATTTATTTATTTATTTGTTTGTTTGTTTATTAAATGTAAATGGCCGCCCATCTCATATGCATGACTCTAGGTGGTTAATGGTTAAAAACATAATAAACAACCAAGTTTAAAACAACACAGATAACATAAAATAACATAGCAGCTAAGAACACTCAGTTAACACAACTCAGACCGAGAAATGGGCTCATCACACTCTCAGGGCCCCAGGCTTGATGGCAAAGCCAGGTTTTCAGTGGAAGGCCAGCAGGGTTGGGGCAAGTCTAATCTCTAGGGGTGGGGGGATGATGTTCCAGAGGGTGGATGCCATTGCAGAAAAGAGTCTCTTCCTGGGCCCCACCAGATAGCACTCTCTTGTGAACAGGATCTGGAGCATGCCTTTCCTGCCGGATCTCACAGAATGGGTAGACACCAAATATTCTGCAACTGTTGCAGACCTCAGCTTTCTTAATTAGAGCTCCTGTGAACAGTTGCTTGAAAATGAGTAGAACCTACCCTGATTTTTATCCCAAGAGATAAACCCTGTTAAAGCAAGATGTCCTATCACAGCCTTCTATTTACATTAATCCATGTGAAGCTCCCTAGAAAACGTCAGACCTCCTATTTTAGAAGAACAGACAATGGACTACAGTTCACAAATCACAATGGTTGGGTTCACACAGCACACTAAGCTAAAATCAATGTTGTTTCCCTTTGTTTCCTTCCCTTATCATAGGCAACACTATAGAAACATTCCTGATTTATATTATTTGTGTTATTAAAATAGCAGACATACAGCTTCATTGAATAATTCAATTGAAATGACTTATCTCTGTAAAAAAATATCCAGGATTTAAAGGATATCAGTTTATTAACATAAATAGCATCAAAGTCAATCTGGTTAGAACTTAGAATCTGAATCACAATCATATTTCCACAAAATGTAATTGCTTTCAGCAACATTAAGAATCTATGGTTTGGAGTACTGTCTAATTACTATGCTCTTCTGCAGCTCAAACTGGGCATTTTTGACATACTTTAGCCACAACATTGCACACAGCTAAGGCAGAATTAAAATTGGTTCCATATGATGTACAGTGAAGTTAATTGAATCACTATGTTTCGGCCTTTTTGATGATCCAGCTTTCACAGTCATATTTACATCTGGGAAAACCATGGTCTTGACAACAGGTATCTTTGTTGCCAGTATGATATTTGTACATTCTATGTTTTGTCTAGACCTATCATTGTCTTCTCATGTAACAGATGTCTCTTTTTTCATGACTGTATTCACCATTTGAACCTAGGAAGATTAAAGCTTGTTTCAACTTCTACCTGTTTGCATAGGGTTGGCATTGCCTGTTGACATAATTTTTCTTTGTTTTTGATATTCAGGAGCAAATAATGTTTTGCACATTCTTTTTTCACTTACAAGAGATTCCTTAAACCCTTCTCACTTCTGACCATCGGCATACCAAAGATTACTGATGTTTTTCTCAGGAGTTTAATTCCAATTCCTATTTCTTCTAGTTTAGTATATCTCATGTAAGTTAAATAAGGTGACAACCTATAACCTTGGATTACTTCTTACCCAGTTTGGACCATTTAGTTGTTCCATATTCTATTATAATTGTTGCTTCCTGGTGATTGTACAATTTCTTCAATAGGTAGATATGGTAACCCAGAGCACCTATGTTTTTAAGGGCTTTACACATAAAAAGCCCTGTATAATCAATAAATCAAAACTGGATGTCTGTTTGAAACTCCCTTGCCTTTTCCATTATCCATCAGATGTTAGCAGTGAACCCAGCTAGTACATCCAGCAATTCTCATCTCATGTATTGTTGAAGTCTGGATAGCAAAATCCTAAATATTATCTTAGTAGCCTGTTAGAGAAGTGCAATTGTTTGGTACTTTGAGCATTCTTTAATACTGTCCCATTTTTTATATTGTATTACAAATTTTTTCCAATCCCTTAGCTCTGCTGTGTTTTCCATACCACTTTACAAACAACAGGTAACACTTGTAAGATTTTAAACAGTTCAGATCATATTTCATAAACTCCTGTGTCTTTGCTATTAGAAGTATTTTCTAAAGACTATTTAACTTCACTTTCCAAAATGTTTGACTAGTTTAGTGGGTAAACTTTTGTATCTTTCATCAGTTTGGGGAACTATTTGTCACCTTCTCTATATTCATACCACCTCTTCTTAATATCTTTTTTCTCCAGCAGAACCTTTCCTTCTTCATCTTTTATGTCTACCTTTTCATATATGTTCATCTTGATTTCTGTAATGTTCTTAAATAATTCTCAGTGCATCAGTGGACAGCAATTTGCCTTCTTTTGCTCGCATTTCAGAATGTTTTTGTTTCATCTTTAATGAAGTCAAGAATTTCATCACAAGAGTTTTTCAGGCATTCTATGTATCTAATCCATGAAATCTATTCTTTACCTTGAGCTCGTAATTCTACAGAATATTGCTGAAGTCATATCTTGTAGTTTTAATTATTTGTCTTCTGTAGTTTAAGGTGTAATTTAGCAAGGAGGAGTCTATGATCTGAGCTGCACTCAGCACCAGGTCTTGTTTTTACTAAATGAATAGAGCTGCTCCATTTGTGTTTGCAGAATATATAGTCAGCTTGATTTCACTGTTATCCATCCATTGATGTCCATGTGTGTAGTTGTCTTTAAAATTGTTGGAAGAAGTTATTTGCTACACTGAGTTTTATTGGCAGCATTCTCTTTCCTGGTTCATTTTGTACAGTGAGGCCAATTTTTCTCTTATTCCAGAATCTCTTAGCCTTTCAGTTTTAGCATGGTATGATAAAGTTAAGGTTAATGGAGATTTTAAGAATCATTATATTAGCAATACCACATTGAGAATATGGAACAGATAAAAATCCAGACTATGCCCAAAAATGCCTTTATGGGTCTCAGCACAAGAAGCATTTTACAGGAAAGAAACAGTAGGTAAAGAAAAATGGTTAACTTATCGAGAGCTGTTAGAACAGTTACATGGAGAATGTAAGATGAAATCAAGAGAGCAGTTGACTGCTGTGGTTCAATCATTCTTGTATGCACAGTTAAGAGAAAGATTTAAGATAATAGGACATTTGGAATTGAGCAGCAGAAAACAGAAGTTGAAGTTGAACTATGTACAAATGATGAACATGTAATTGCTAAAAGATATAAACATTTATTGAAATTTGAAATGGAAGAACAACAAATGAAAGAATGTTTGATAAAATGGGCTAAGAACTTTGGACACAATATACTGATGGAACAGTGGTAAAACAGGTGTTTAAAAGGATTGAACTTTACATTATGTTATAACTGAAAAGAGAATGTTTATAAAATGATGTACCTTTTATATGACTCCATAAAAATTGTCTAGAATGTATAAAGATACTTCAAATATATGTTGGAAATGTGGACAACATGAAAGGTCATTTTATCATGCTTGGTGGACTTGTTAAAAAAATCCAAAAATTTCTGAGTTCAAATACATACTGTATAATGACACAAAGAATTTTAAAGACCAACTTTCAACAAACCAGAAAGTTTGTTGCTGGGATTAATGGAAAGTCAATTAGAAAAGGACCACGGAAGATTATTTTTATATATGATTACTGCTACAAGACTATTATATGAGAAAAATGGAAAGATTCTGAAATACCCACAATAGAGGGGTGGTTGGGGAAGATGACAGAAATAGTAGAGATGGCAAAATTAACTTGTTTGATTAGAGAACAACAACTGCATTTATCAGTGACTGGAAACCCCTTATGGACTTTTTGTTGAAAAAAGAGAAAAATGAACTTGTGATTTATGCGTTTGAAGCTTAGAAAGGATCGCTTATGGAAAGAAGGAAATTATGATGTAACCTTAGAGAGAGAGAGTAAAATATAAATGCATTTATAACTGCTGTCAAAAAGATTGGAAGCCACTTCTTTATAATCTTTTCTTTTCTTTTTCTTTTTCTATTTTCTTTCTTATTCACTATTCTTCCTTATTTTCTTTGTTTCTTTTCTAATATTTGTATTTTTCTCTTGTTAAAAATTTCTTCAATAAAAATTATATTTTTAAAAAAAGGCTTTCAGTTTTAGCATTCCAGTGGTCTGTGGTGTGTGACTTTTTTTTGGGGGGGGGTGTGGTCTTGAACACTGACCCATCATTTTCAAGGAGAACATAAGGAATCACTTTGAAGTAAATCCTGACCCCCATTGGTGGGAACCAGGAGAACTGCATAGTGAAATCAAAGAGGTTGTCAGGGATGAACGTGAACGGAGACTGCCAAAGACCAAGAAACAGAAGAAAGCAAACTGGACGTGAAAACAAACTGGAATTTGCCAAGAAGACAAGAAAAGCCAAAGCCAAGAAATATAAAGATCTCAGGAAGGAACCTAACAAAGAACTTCAGAGAGCTGTTAGAAGAGACAAAAAGCAGCATTATGACATCTATAAAGACATCAAAGATGGAAAAAGACATGGAAAAAGAAGAACAGTGTTCCAAAGGGTCTCTGAACTCAGAAGGCGGTTCCAATCTCAAATTGTATGCTAAAGAACATCAATGAACAGATAATGACTGATTCAGATTGTATGTACATTGTTGCAATTCTGTGCAAATATATTTATTTGGAATCATGTTTTAACTGGCGAAAGACAAATATTTATAATTATTAGATCAAAGTGCTTTAATCTAATAATTATAAATAATTGCTTTATTTTTAATTGGGTTGTAATAGTGTATTGTTCATAGTGCCCTACTAAGGTTGTCTCTGCCTTTAAAGCGCTTGAGGCAAGGATCGCTCAGCCTGCCTTGTTCTGCCCTTTCTTGGAAGCTCTAGAAGCCTTTACAGGAAATGGAGTAAAGCCCCGAAGATGAAAATGATTGTGCATTCAACTTTCCTGTAATAGAATAATATCAAAATCACTTAAATGTTGAGTAAAAGAAATATCATTGCACTTATTAAACCAACCAGCAACATTCTAGGAAATTGTTTTCAGAATGGAGTGCTTAGGGTTATATTCTGAAAGTAGTCAGTCTTCAACATGAATGTGATTTAGTATTGACCGCAAAACAGTCCCCCCGCCCCCCCGCCCATCCCAATCCCCTAAGTTGGTCCAGAAGGATACCGTGATGGGTGGTATTGAAAGGCACTGAGAGGTCCAGGATGGATGCACCACCCCATCCCTTGTTCTCCAGAGGTCATCCACAAACACAAGCAATGCCATCTCAGTACTATGACCTGGCCTGAATCCTGGCTGAAAAGGATCCATATAATATGCTTATTCCAGGGTTTCTTGGAGCTGAGTGCCTACCACCCTCTCAACAACCTTCCCTAAGAAGGGAGGGTTGGAGACTGGGTGAAAGTTGTCCAAAACAGTTGGGTCCAAGGATAGTCTCTTGAGAAGGGAGCAAACCACCACCTCCTTCAAGGCAGGCAGAACCACCTTCACCCACAAAGAGGCATTAACCTCCCCTTGGGTCCAACCACATGCCACCTCCTGGGAGGCCTTGACCAGCCAGAAGGGCTGTGGGTCCAGAGCACGGGTGGCAGAGCTCCCAGCTGTAAGGACCCTGTCTACCTCCTCAGGACCAAGTGGCTGAAACTCCATCCAAATAATTGGGTAAAAATGTGCCTCAGTCACTTCAGTAGGACCTGCCCAGCCAGAGTCCAACGCAGAGCAAATCCAAATGACTTTATTCAACAGATGTCTAGGATAATCCTCACAGTGACCCCGCAAGATTTTCCCCAATCCCTCCTTACCAGGGAGGGACCTAGTCACCTGAAACAGGGTTGCTGGCCAGCTATCTGGGGACACAATAAGAGTGGAAAAGTAAGCTCATTTCACCGCTCTTATTGCCGCATAATAAAGACTCTCATCTGTGTTCAGTTAGATTCACTCCTTGTGTTCCTCCAGCAGTGTTCTATGTATCTTCTGCACAGTTTCATCTCCCAGAGCTCCTCCATAAACCAGGGAGCTCTACGGGATCCATGAACACAGAAAATCCAGACAAATGTGATCCATTCCAAGGCTCTGGTGGCATGCTCATTCCAAGCTGCCACCAAGGTCTCAGTTGAACCATGCACCAGCACTTCAGGAATAAACCCAAGTCCCCGCTGAAGCCCCAGTGGGTCCATCCAG